TGCAGGTGAAGTTATAAAAATTATTGCATCATCATCATCATCATTATTATTATTATTGTTATAAACAAAAGGTAATCAAAGCTTTTAAAAGACATTTTTAAGTCTCCAGGTAGACAAATCCCTCTTTTTAAAGGATAGAAGATCACCAAATTTGGATACCTCCTCAGCATACCCAATAAAGCTGATTCTTATCTGCCACCTGAAAGTCATGGCATAATGAGTTAAAATATCCAATAAAATAGAAGTGAAGATAGAACTGCTGGGCTTTGAGATCTTATTGCTAAATTTAAGCTAATAACTGATTTTTCCCCGTCTTGTCCTAAATGCTTTAAATCAACCTTATTAAGAATATTGTAACAAGGTCAAGTGTACACTGCTGGAAGGTGGGAAAATGCATTAAAAAACTCAAATAGCAGCAAATTAGGAACCTCTGGATAGCCCTGTGGAATGATTTAAAACCCACCAGGGAAGACCTCATTTTTTTTAACTTCTGAAAACCCTCATTAACAGCATTCTCAGCTGACCTCAGCACTCATCTCCTGAGGTCCCACAGGATGGGAGGTTTCTGCCAGGGACACTCCCAGGCAGGTTCTGCAGGGCAGCCACCAAGGACCAGGCACTGACCCACCTGCTCTGGCTGGTCCTTCGAGATTCTCCAGTTTCTTGAGCTAAGAAATGAGGTTTTATCCTCATTTTTTTAGAGGAGGAAACGGTGAACATCAGGAAACAGCTGGATGTGGCTGTGTCCATGGAGTCACTGACTGGTTTGGGTAGGAAGGGACCTTAAAACCCATCCAGTGCCATGGGCAGGGGCACTTTCTACTGTCACAGGTGGCTCCAAGCCCTGAAGTCCAACCTGTCCTTGGGCACTGCCAGGGATCCAGGGGCAGCCACAGCTGCTCTGGGAATCTGTGCCAGGGCCTGCCCACCCTGCCAGGGAAGGAGTTGAAAAAATGGGGATCAAAGACTGGACTTGATGACTTTGGAGTTCTTCTCCAAATGTAATGAATTCTGTGATATATGTCTGTATCAATCACCTGGATCTGCTTGATTTCTATGGGGGAAAACCACCCCTCACAGACCAAAGTTTGGCTTTCCAACTTTTCATCTTCCTGAGAACCCAACATGCATTTGCCATTGGCTTTGATATAAAAATACATCACTGGGATTAATAAACACAGCATGCTCTACTAATCTTTTATAGATTTTAATGGGAAACTAATAAAATGTTCCATTGGAAAATGATGCACTTGAAAAGCCATTTCATAAAAATCTTGTAAAAATTCCGCCAGACATTAAAATCTCACTTTCTAAAAGGGAATGAAATACAACAAGGAGGGATTTGACTCCAGGGTACCCCGGTTTGAGGACATGTAGCAAAACCCCCATGTGATTTAAGCTTCATGGTTATTGGGGAAACAAAATATTTCTTAGAAAACAACAATCCAGCTCGTTGAGCTTCAAAAACACTATTTTACTGATTTTTTGACTCAATATAGGAAAATGTACAACTCTTCAAATAGAAAATATACCAGTTCCCTCTAATACTTTGTTTTATGCCTTGTGAGCATCTCGTTAGCACTTACTGACTGCTCCTGAAATATATTTTTACTCCCAGTGGCTCCAGCTGAAAGGTTTAAGCCCTGCTAAGGGCTGTACAACAAGATTTGCAAAGAAAGAGGAGCCGTTTGTGATAATTGACTGGAATATTTATGAAGTTGAGGCCTCAGGTCTTTCAAGGCTCTGTTGGTCAAGGAAATTCTGCCCTGTCTTTACTGCACTGAGGGTTCTAAAAGTAAAAAACTCCCAGGAGCTGCTGCTGAGATTCCACCAGCCTGGAGAAAAGGAGGCTCAGGGGGGACCTTGTGGCTCTGCACAGCTCCTGCCAGGAGGGGACAGCCAGGGTGGGTCGGGCTCTGCTGCCAGGGAACAGGGACAGGACAGGGGGAAATGGCCTCAAATTGCACCAGAAGAGGTTTAGGTGGATATTGAGGTGGATATTGGGAAAAATTCCTTTCCAGAAAGGGCTGTCAAACATTGGACTGGCTGCCCAGGGCAGGGGTGGAATCTCTATCCAATGGTTTGGGAGCAGTAGGATCTATGGGAGAAGGTATTGAAGCAGGGCTTCAAGCAGTTTGGGGATGTAGGAAGGCAATAAAAAGCAAAACAACAGGAATCACCTCAAATATTTTACATTTAGGGCAAATTATGGCAGCCTGAGGTAAAACCATGAGACAGAGCCTGAAGTATAAACTTACCTCTTTCTAAATTGAATTTTTGACAACTTGTCAGAAGCAAAATTGTTGTAACTTCCCAGTGTGGGAAGCTGGCTGCAAATTCCAAGGAGAAAAACAAGATTTGTGCCTTTCATCCCTTAAACAACATCCTCGTGTTTCCAGTGGTGTGGTGACACGCTTGGGAACGTTTAGGAGCGTGGGTATTATTGCCACCTAATTCCACCATGGGGTTAAGGAGCTGGAAAGGGCACACGAGGTCTCCTGATGGGAATTTTGGCCCTCGTCCACGGCCGAGGATGTCCTGAGGGCTCCCAAATCCTCCCCTCTTGGATTTCCACGGCCATGCAGCAGCTGTGACCTTTGTGCAGGTGGGCAGTCTGGGCTGGGGGAGCTGTCACATCCCAGGGGGGTCACGGAGCTGGGAGCTGGAGGGGATCAGGTGTGTCCTGGGGAATGCTGCAGCAGCCGGGGCCATGGAGCGCGCGGGGAGCCAGGCCGGCTCCAGCACGGATGAGGAACGCGGGTTTTCGGGAAGCAGCTCCGAGGAGGAGGAAGGGGATGAAGGCCAGGCAGTGTCCGAGTCAGTGCTCTTCTCTTCTCTCCTCCCTGGGGGTGGTGGGGCACTGCCAGGAATTAATTAATTCATTAATCCTTAACGAGTTGTGTTTTACACATTGCACTTCTAATAGCTGCTTAGTGCTGTGCTGTTGAAATAATTACTTGTATTTAATGCACTTGTAGTAATTAAACTACCTGTTGCATTTCATGCAGTAATTACTTTTCACTTGTCATTGCACTGGTACTAGTTACTTTTGCCTTTAGAGCTGTGCATTTACTGGGAGTAACCTCTGCATTTAATATTTTGCACTGGTATTAATTAGTTGTTTAATGTATTTACTAGTAATTAGAATTCCATTTAATGCTGTGCACTGGGAGTAATTACCTTAGTTTTTAATGCTCTGCATTTGTAGTAGTTACTGTTTCAGTTAATACCATGATTATTTGTTGCATTTAATGCCCTGCATTTGTAGTAACTTCTGTATTTAATGTCTTGCACGTATAGTGGTTACTTTTCCCTTGAATGCTGTGCATTTTCCAGGAGTAACTTCTGGGTTTAATGCTTTGTTCTTCTAGTAATTGTTACATTTAGTGCTGTGCCCTTGTAGAATTACTTTTGCATTTGATGCAGTTCACGTGTGGTTATTACTTCTTGCAATTAATGCCATGCACTTGTAATTCTTTCTGCATTTAATGCTGTTCACTTCCTAGAGGTTAATTTTCCACTGAATGCTGTGCACTGGTAGGAAATACTGAAATACTCTTGGACTTGTAGTAATTACTCGTTGCACTTATAGCATGCACCTTAATAGCAACTTCTGCACTGAATTCTGTGCTCTTGTAGTAATTATTTGTTGTGTTTAATGCCACCTACTTGGAGCAGTTACTCTCTCATTTAATGCTGGGCACTTGCTGGTGGTTGCTCTTGCCTTTAATCCCCTGTTAGTAATTTCTTTCCCAATTAATGCCTTGCACTTGGAGATTTTCATGCCATGCACTTACAAGGTTTCATTGGCCTTTAATGTCATGGATTTCTGTACCTCCCTGTGCTGCAGCTGCTGGCCAAAGTCACCTTCTAGAGAAGGATGGATTAATAGAAGAGAACAGAAATTAAACAGTCCCTTGTTCATCTAAATACCTCATTTCAAATTTTATTGAAAATGTTGGAAATGAGGCCACCAATTTTATTCTCTTTTTCTGGTCTGCAGTCATCTGTGTATGAAACAGTAACCAAATCATGTCTGTGATCCATAAATACACAGGGGATAAATGACTTTTTGTGGCATCTGGGATAATGGGACAAATGTGTTGAGTTTTAATGGGAATTAGTGGACACCAACAAGTTTGAATTCTCATTTTAATGGGTCAATATATTGTCAAAAGCTGGCTACAGCAACTTAATGAGGAATTCAATATTGTCCTTCCTTATCCTCTCTGTATTTACCCAAGTTTTAGGAATTAATAGAGATAATTATCCACTGTTGTTCCACTACTTCTTTCTCATTGCATTAAATTAGCACAATGTGATTTATCAGTGGGGTAAATTAGCACAAATACACACTTAATTCCAGTCCAAATAGACTCAGAGTCAGCATTCCAGCACAGGCTGGAGTATCAATGTTCTTCCCTTGTATTTCTGCTTGCTCTGCTCTAGAGGTGTGAACATGAAGACAGCTCCAAAGCAATTAAAATTAATTAATGATTAACCTCAGAGGGAGAGTGCACATGCATCACCCTTTTTTCACCATATTCCTGCTCTAATACCTCCAGTCTTTAAATGGGAATTTCTATCCTTAACAGCAGCTGTAAATTTGATTTTCTGCTTCAGTGGAAGCCTAGAGTGGTGTTCCAGCCTAAATGAATGAGGGGTGTTTAGAAGAGGGGAGGTCTCTCTTGCCTGTAATCCACTTAACCTTGGCACATGGAAAGGTTGGAGGGAATTGGGACAAAGTGAACCCAGAAAATGCAGCGCTGTCTCTTAAACACTGGAACACCAAATCGACCTGATTAAAATGAATTAAATTGACTATTTTTATTAGTCTTGGAATTCTAGTCTTTTACTAGCCTATATGGACGATGAAAACAACAAGGAAAAGCTGTGAAAGCCAGAAATTTGTCCTCAAAGTGCTTGAAGAGCCCTGTATGTTGGAAATCAGAAGATTGTCATTGGAAATAACTGAAGAAATGTGGTTTTTTTTCTTGCAGGGAGGATGTCAGGACAGCCAACGTCATCGCAGCTGAAGCGGTCACTTGTCTGGTCATAGACAGAGAGTAAGTTCCTCCTTCTGCCTAGGGCTGGGGGGAAACTCCCATTTCAACCTTTTCCAGAGCTTAACAAGAGCCTTGGATCATCTTCTCCAAAGAGGCCTCTTAATTTGGGGTGATAAAGTCACAGATGTGTCCTTGATGCGTGGAGGGAAGGTGCCCCTAAATCAACAAGACAAAACTCAATAGTGACAAGTACAAAACTCAATAGTGACACTTAGAATCACAGAAAGTCCAAATGGAAATAAAGGAGGAGCTGGAATTGCTGTGGGAATTCCACAGTATTTGCTCCTGGCAAATGTTGGAGCAAGGTGTTGTCCCAGTCCATGTGAGGATGGAGAGTCCTTGGGAGAAGGCCACAGCCCTGCTGGGAGCTCTGTCGCTCAGAGGAGATGCAGGAGATCAGAAGAGTAAAATAATAATTTATACAGGAAGCTTGAGAGAATTAAGGGGGGTTAATCCAGAAAAAAAACATGCCTGGACACTCCAGCGCTGCAAATCCAGCTGCTCTCTGCAGTTACTGGGAATGGGATTTAAAAATGGTATAAAAATGGAACATTTTTATGGGAAAATGGGCTGGTTTAATGGGAATTAATGGGAAAACCTGGGCTGTGCAGCACTGGCACAGAGCAGCACAAGGCATGGACACACCTTGATGGGAATCTTTCCATGGGAATGTGCTATGGATCTGTGACACCCACAGAGAGGGTAGATGGGTGTTGACTTTTCACTGCCTCCCCCCTACGCAGGAGCTCCAAGAAACCTGCAGGAGGGAGGCAGAAACTATGGAATAACAAGAAAAAAATGCTGATATTGGAAAGGAAAATAAATCCACTGGATTTTTGAAGTATGTGGGACCCACCTGTGGGCCAAGAGCTTTCAGAGTAGTGTGGATTGTTGGGGTGCCTGGGCAAAGCCAGGAGCTGGATCCGTGATCCCTGTGGATCCCTAGAAGTGATTCTGGTGCCCTTCTTGTGTTCTGGTGAGAGATGGGATTCTGTGCTCTTTTAGGGCTCATCTCCATCCCCCCAATCCTGCTGGGACACCAGTGGTTTGTGTCATCTCACAGGTCTCCATTTCTGGAATTCCAGTGTTCTGGACAGGCTGAGCTGGGGAATACCTTCAGAAATCCTGATAAGTTCTGGTTTATGTTAATTCATTATTAATTGCAAAACCCATGGTCTGTCCACTGAACACAGGTGGGGAACACCTGAGGGCTCCTTTCTCAGCCTGGTAGGTAAAACACCCACCCTCCCTTCTCGTGCTGTGAGGCAAATAAAAGAAGAATTCAATTATTTAGCAAGATAATATTTTAGTAATCTTTATGCTTTTAATAATTAGATAATTATCAATAATTAATTCAGAGAAATAAAAAGCAACAAATAATTTATTCTTTTCATTTTTACACTTTTGCAACAGATATTTTTGGTTTTGCATTGTGAGCGCTAGAAACACCAAATAATTCAAGTCACTAGTTTCTGATAATTTCCCAGACTGTTCCTTGTCTCCTGTGCCTTGTCCTCACATACAATGCCCTTGAAATAGTAAGGAAGTACAAGTGAAATTTAAACTGACGAAGCTGTGGTTAATCTACCTCAGAGATTCTATTAACACTGTGCAATTAGCAGAGTGGCACTATTTAAAAAATTCTTATTTATAGTGCAAGAAAAGTGACCCTATTGATAGCCCTATTTATAGCTCAGAGCAGGCTGTCCTGTGTCCTGGACCGGGCTGAATTTCATGTCCCAGCTCTTCCTTAGGCTCTTATTTTATAGGAATGACAACAGCCGGAGCAACATTTCATGTGGAGATAAACTACCAGGACTTGTGGCAATTTGGGAAATCGGTGAAGAAAAAGAACCATTTTTTTTAAATATCCAGACAGAGCAAATTTTACTCTTTTTTGGTAGTGGTGGTGGATGAGAAGGTTGAGTGACACAAGGAGGTGGAAATGGGAGCAGGGAGTGGGTGTTCCCTGCAGCTGGAATTTGTTCCTTGCAGCAGGAGGGGTGACACAAGTCACTGAAACTGCTAAATATTTTCCTGTTCCCAGACAAGCTCTTTGCCTAATCAGATGGAACCACTGAAGCAGCAATTTCCATGCTCTGTGGGTGTCCCCATCTGAGGCAGCTCAGCAAAACTGGCATTGCAGTTTCAAAAAAAACAGAGATGGGAAAAGACCTTTTCCTTAACACATGGGATTCCTGGAGAATTCCTGTCTCGCTGACCAGCATCACCCACAGGAATTATCTGCAGCAGGGTAACTCTTCCAAATTCCTTGTGAAAGGCTTCCCAAAGCATCCAAAAATTGTTCCAGCTGCCACACTCCCACCTCATTAACAAAGAGAGTCACACCTTGGTGCCACAGGAAGTTATTCCTAAGGGAGGCGTGAGTCTAGCTCTGGATTTGCCAATATTCCCAGCAATTTTAGGGCTGGTTTAGCTGCTGCAGGGTTTGTAATCTGAGGGTGAATAACAGGGGAAACTTTCATCACAAGGATGAGCCAGGAGCTCTGGGCAAGTTGGGTTTGGGAAGGGAATTGCTTAATTTGGGTTTGAGAAGAGAATTGCTTAAGTTGGGTTTGAGAAGGGAATTGCTTAATTTGGGTTTGAGAAGAGAATTGCTTAAGTTGGGTTTGAGAAGGGAATTGCTTAAGCATGACAAGAGGGAATGCTTTGCCTAAAAGGGTCTCTGGAAATTATAAAATATGTATAAAATGGCTACAGGGCTGAAGCAGTGGGAGTGGGGAATGCCATGAGCGAAAGTCAAACTGGAGTCATGATGGGTCTTTAATTACCAGATTATGTTGGTGCTGCCTTGCTTTTAAATTTCCTGTAAAACAAGAGGGCTCCTCCAATCCCAAAACACCCCAAAGACTCCCAAAATGTAGTACAGCTATTTTTGCCAATCTAGGAACATGTGCTTTGCAAAGTGCATTGCCAGCATCCTTTTCTGGTGTAGGAATGAGCTAAATCCTCATCTAACAATGAAAACAACCTGCAGGAAGCATTTGATGCATCCAGTGGACTTTGTTCCCACTTGTCCTTGTCCTGAAAATATTTGTTATGAAAAGCATTGGCATTTTTTCCATCTTGCAGTTGTGTTTTTGAGTCTCTTCCTTTACTGGAATAATGAATTTCAGTGGGATTTGGTCCTTAATGCTCTTGATCCTTCCCTATGAGGGTGGGGGCACCCTGGCACAGATTCCAAGAGAAGATGTTGATGCCTCTGGATCCCCAGAAATGTCCCAGGCCAGGCTGGCCAGAGCTTGGACCTCCCTGGGATGATGTAAGGTGTCCCTGCCCATGGCACTGGATGGGCTTTAAAGTTCCTTCCAACTCAAACTTTTCTGGGAATTCTGTGGTTCCCATTGGGAGCACCATTCATTTTGCTCCCCCGAGGAAGAAAACCAAAAAAACTTGTGTGGTCCTACATGGTCAGGTGTATTTGAAAGAAAGAACTTGGAATTCATAAAGAAAATAATCCAAGCAATTTCCCATTATCATCAAAATTTCAACAGAGAAGAGGAGGCACCGTAATCCAGTGGAGAAGATGAAGTGAGAGGGTGACAAGGTTGAGGAAATGAGGGTGGCAGCCCTGTAAGGGACCCCAGCATGGGGAAGGCTCCATGCTCAAGCTCTCTGCTGAGTTGGGATTGATTTGTCCAACGTTCTTCCTGCCAGCCATGGAGCACAGACCCAACCATGGGCTTACAGAATTGGTTTGGAAACTTCAACAAAGTCCACAGAGCGTTCATGGGAATTGTGACAAAAAGAGGCCAGTTGGATATCTGACCATCTGAGGGTGTTGGAATCTGAGGTATTGATGATTCTGAGATTGTAGAAAGTCTCTGTCTGTCAGCCCCGCTGCCAAAGAAGAAGCCATAATTCGTCTGTGCTGGTTTCAAGGTTGTTGATTCTGTTTATCTCTAACATGTTCTGCTGCCCTGCCGCAGCTCTGTCCTGCAGGGCAGCGTGTGGGGCTCTGCCCTCAGTGGGATGTTACAAACATTAAATACCAGAAACTACCTGTGCTGGATTTACAATAACATGCCAATATCTGTCACCTACGTTGAACAGTGTGTCCCCAGCCTGAACCAACAGAAAAATGCCAACACTACAGTGAAACATGGAGGGCATGAAGAAGGAGAAAAAGGACAAGACACACCCAATTTCCTCCTCTTGTCCCCTTTGAACCCCTAATTCAGAATCCAAAAATTTGACTTTTGTATCCGTGCCACACTTAATTATTACTCTTATCAAACACTCAGAGCTTGTAATTCACCCTGTAAGATTGAAAACTCTTTTCCATGGACAGAGATCACAGACAGTGTCTCTGGGGGCTCTGTCCAGGGGGGTTCCTGACCCCTGCCAGGGTCCCAGGCCTTCCAGGGCAGCCAGAGGGAAGCCCTGGATTCCCACATGAGGAAATTTGGAGAAGCCTTTGGGTACTTGAGGAGCCACACAGCTCATTGCAGCCCCACCATTTCCTGCTGCTCAAACCTCCACTCTGGGAACACACATGAATGTTTTACACCACCTCCCAGATGGCTTTTAGGCACTTTTATTTCCAAGCACTTTAAAAAAAAAAATTATTTACAATTCATGGTCTTTCTGTCTTTAGAACTTGTCTTGACCCTACAAGGTCAAGGCTGTTGTTAATGAAGGTTTTCCTGTGGTGGCATTGCAGGAATTCATCCTCTGGGAAAAAAGTTACTATGGGAGCTGCTCAATGGCATTACCTCCAAATTGTTCTGAGCTTGGCCTTGTCAGAGCTCATCCTGCTGAATTTCCAGGCTCCTTGGAGGCGTTATTAGATTTGTTCCAGAAGTACAGTTGGGGAAAAGTTAACAAATATGTGCTGGATTTGATGGATTGGTCCTTTAGGAACTTGTCTGTAAAAGTTCTTCTGATAAAAATGGTGCAGACACGCCTTGAGCATCTGTTCTGTGGATCAGTTTGAATAAAGATGCACAGATAGACTTCACTTGCAGCCCCTTTGTATGGAGAGAAAACAGGAGGGAAAGGCTTCAAACTCATTCCTGACGTTTGGATCATCACTGGCACCCTCAGGGACAAGTTGGGCAACTCTATAATTCTTTTTTTTTTTTTCACACTTACCTCTTGAAACTGAGAAAGTGTTTGAAAGTGTTCATGGCTGCTCCTGAACTGTCGGAATATTTACACCGAGGTTGATTTGGGTTCATCTTTTATTTATATGGGATTTTTTTTCCTCTCCAAATAATTTATTTATGGTGCCAACAACGTTTTCATGGAGTTGGAGATTTAGCAGCACTGTGGGTGTTGGGAGGACAAAATTGCCTCATGCAAATGGAGAGAGAGGAGCTGATGGAGCAGAGCCAGAACAACTAAAAGCCCAGCTGCTGCTGACAGAGAGTTACAGAACTACCTGGAATTTACACTAAATGCTGTTTTTTCAACTTCTTGTCTTCTTCAGCTGCACATATCAAGAGGATGCACTTTTTTTTTAAGGCAACATTTTAAATATTTCAGCTATTTTCTGCTTTTCCACTTTGCATTTCCCATTTTTGTCTGTGTTTCAAAGCTTGGGTTTGTTTTTTTTTAAGGAAGAGCTGTGAGGTGTCAACAAAGGTTATTGGATCGACCCTCCTGGCAAGGGAAATTGGAGAAAAATGAAATAAAAAAGTATTATCCTGGCATGACTGATCCCATATAAGCTGAGCCGAGCTCTTTCAGTGGAGATTTTAGGGTTTGCTGCTTTGCTGTTTCTCCCAGTCAGAGCAAAGTTTATCCATGGAGAAAATTGGTTATGAGGAGAGAATAGAAAAAACGACGAGAAAAGGCCACAGGGAGAAAAAAACCCAAGCAGTTTCTGATTGAATTCTGAAGGAGGCTGGGACTGAGCCGAGACTTCAGCAACATTGAGATGGGCAATAAAAAAGGGACATAAGTGAACTTTGATAGCTTGCCCAGTGCTAAGTCTGGCTTAAAATTTTAATAAAAATTAAGGGTTTTAGGGAAACTGTTATTACTCCTTTCTGTGACTTTTCTTCTTTGCTGATTCACTAGAAAAGATTTATTTGCATTGCCAAAAAAAGGGTTTTTTTTAACCCTGCCACATTTTCCTAGGCAAACCAAGCCTAAAGCACAATTAAGGCACTTTCCAGGATGGTGTTACTGTGTCAATTAATTGCCTAAATACCTGTTTGAGTTGCAATTAGGCATTAACACCCCAATCCTGTTTTGCTCTCACTGTCACCTTGCAAGGTTTGGCTTCATCCTGTGGCACATTCCCAGCATCGGGAAGAAGAAACTTTAACTCAGCTGAAGGAGCTGAGTTGTTCCTGTCTTCACTCCTGAGCAAGGAATTTGGGATTGAAAAGTTACTCCCATTATTAGCATATTAATATTAAATTTATAGTCCTAATATTAAAAATATTAAAAATTACCAGACTGGGTAAAAACCACTAACACGAGTTTATGTGAGAGCAAAGGGGTTCGTGAATTAATTAATTTGCTTGCATAAATTATTTCCTTGATTGTATTATTTGAAATATAATGAATTAAGTGGAAGACTGGGGAAATTGGTGTGGGCAGAGGGCATTTCCTGAGCTGTAATTCCCAGCAGAGAATCCCAGGATGGGTCAGTTTGGAAGGGCCCACAGTGGGCACCTGGTGCCACCTCCCTGCTCCAGCAGGGCCAGGGTTATGTGCACACAGCTCTGGAATAGCCCCAGGGAGGAGAATTCCTCTGGAAAAGCCCTTCCAGCAGCTCCAGATCCAAACCACCTCTCCCACTTGTCACCTCCTGCCCCACAGTGATGGGGAAAATCCGTTTTTTTTCCAACAGGATAATTGTGCCTCTCTTGGTTCTGCTGGAAGTGCTATCTCCACACATCCATGGGTACATTCCATAGGGTCAGGCATCTCCTCTCAGGAGTGTCAGTGTGTCTGAGCCACCCAGAGTCCCATCATTCCCATCCCAGGAACACGGGAGTCTCCCCGGCTCACCCCGTGCCTTGCAGGACCTTGCATTTCCCCAGCTGCCCTGGATTTTCCTCACCTGCTCAATGTCACTCATTCTTTTTAATCCTACAAATCCTCCTTGAGAAAGGGCCATATTAAACATCCCCTTCTTATTCCTTATGTCAGAAATGTGGCCCTCAATGGGGATTTTAGGGTTTTTCTTTCTTTTTTTTTTTCAATGTTTCAGTTCATTTTTTTGTCAACTTAGAGCAATTCCTTTTCTTCAGCTCTGTTTTGTGCCTCAGGAGTGTCAGGAGCACAGAAGAATTGCAGGATTTTAATTTGTGAGGCTGTGACATTAAGGCAGAGATCAGTCAAGAGACTCTGGTTTGCAGCAGTTCATCTTTTCAAATTCTTCTTCCTTGAAAAAGAGAAAACCTGCATGTGACAGACCCACTGGGAATACTGGAATTGGATAGTAGAAAGTAGCTTTTCACCTGCAACATTTTTGTTTCAAGGCATCCACTGATTTGAGTTATTAATTTCTAGTTTTTCATGGAATCTCAGAATGGTTTGGGATGGAAGGGATATTAAGGATCATCCAGTGCCACCCCATGCCATGGGCAGGGACACCTTCCACTGTCCCAGGCTGCTCCAAGCCCTGTCCAGCCTGGCCTTGGGCACTGCCAGGGATCCAGGGGCAGCCACAGCTGCTCTGGGCACCCTGGGCCACCCTCCCAGGGAACAGTTCCTTCCCAATATCCAACCTGAATTCCCTCTCTTTCAATTTGAACCCCCTTTGATGTGTTTTTGGATGCTTTTTCTCTAAAGATGAGCAAGGTGGGATCCAGAAGTGAAAATTTCACACTGGAAGCAGAGGGATTTACAGGGCTCCTGGCTGGAGGACAGGGATGTTGAGGTGCCCCCACCAGCCACATTTACTCTGAAACTTCTACTGGAGGGTGAAAACCTTCAGCAGCCATTTCTGTGGTCTGGATAAATGATTCTGGATCCTCTTGGCATTTCTAAGGGCTGGGTCTGGTCGGTCACTGGCATTGAGATCCAGCCCAGACTGGTGCCAAAAAACCACACTGGATTTCTTGACTCCCAGGTGGGATCTCTTCAGGTTCAGTGGTGGACCTGGCAGTGCTGGTGGGACTGGATGATCTTCAGGGTATTTTCCAGCATTGGTGTTTCTGTGATTTTCCTCTCTAAGTGTCCTTTTGTCTTTACAGCTCCTTCAAGCACCTGATCGGGGGCCTGGATGACGTCTCCAACAAAGCCTATGAGGATGCAGAAGCAAAAGCAAAGTAAGTGCTGAGCATCAATGTCCCAAACTTGTGTTTGTTGATGGTGCACCACTCGAAATCCCAAAAAATCCCCTCCTTGTTCTCCATGCAATAATACCAAACAGCTCAAAAAGAAGTGATTCCTCCTCTGGATGGAGGAATTTTCCTCCTTGTGTCTCCCTGGTTCTCCTCATGAATATGGAGATGGGTGTCCTCTGGTCAGTGCCCAAAGCCAGGTGGTCCCAGGGTCCTGCTCAATCACAATATTTTAATCCAATGGCTCTTCCAGAAATCCTCTTGAAATATTAAGATGAGAAATATATTGTGAGGTGAGAAACTCCAGTGAAGAATATTGTGAGGTGAGAAACTCCAGATCCTGGAATTGCACTTGAGGGAATTACTGTTGAGGGAGTTGTTGTTGAAGACGTTTCATTTCTTTAGAGAGCTCTGACCTTTCTCAGATACTTCCCAAAGTCAAACATGTTCTGAGACAAAGGATGGGCAGTGGAATTTGTCATTAGAGGATAAAAACTAGAGCTGCCTTGATGTGAAACAGTATATTTATCTGAAGTCCACAATAAATATTCATTCCTTTCAGAAGGGAGCTGTAGAGTATTAGATTAAAATATTTTTAAACCCCCTCTTTTTATTAATTCTTGAGCTGCAATTTGCTTTTAATCTGTAATCTTTGAGCTCTGATTCTATCCCAATGAATAAAGCTTTTCAAGAGGATCCTGTTCTGCTTTGGGAGATGCTCAATATCAACCAAACATAATTCAAAGGCAGAGACTGTTGAAAAGAAAATTAAATTTGCTCTATACAAAATTTCTTTACTTTTCCTCCCTCTCAATTATTTTGCTTTTATGGGGATTTTCTTCATAGCACATTAAAGAAGGGAGAAATTGTTTTCTCAAAGTCAGATGCTCCAAATGACTGTCTAAATTGCAGATTCCAATTGAGTTATACATAGAAACTTCTCATTAAACCACAGGTGTTGGAATGGTGTCTGCTGAAGGTATTGGGCACCTCTGTGGAGGGAAAGTGAGAATTTCCAATTAAGTATTGATTAAAAATAACTCGTGGTCTGTTTCAGAAACTAAGATCTGTCTCAAAAGTCTTCAGTTCATAAGCAAAACTTGTCAATCTGCAATATACCCACAGGTTTCTCTTTTCTTATGCTTGAGTGATGCTTGAAATATTATATTTAATTAATTTTAAGGTATTAAAAGGGTTGCATTTTTGATTGGAATAATATTTCCCTGCCTCAGATGAAATGTAAGCTTCCTTCTTCAAAAGATTAAATTCCCTAAATTCTTGTTGACCCAATTAAAAAGGTGAGAGAATATCAACTTCCTTTATCATCCCCCCAAAAAGGGGTTTGGGGCATGGAATACTTCAGACAGATGATTCCAAATATCCCAGGGTCATTCAGTTATTGTTTTATATTAATTTTTGAGTGTTCCTATTTGGGTTATGTTGATTTCCATTGGAGCAGAAGGGAAGAAAACATTGGGAGTAAAATTGGGGAATTTTTGGGTTGGATCATAAACAATATGGTCACAAGAGGTTTTTGAAGGTGCCACCACAACCCATTAGCACCAAGAAAAATGTGCCCTCCCCACATCTATAATTTTAAGGTCTATTCTTGAGTATTTAATATCCCAGGAATGTTGGGGATGCAGATTGAGGAGATTTTGAGGATATTTCAGGGAATTTTAGGATCTGCTGTACAATGTGGGGGAAGCTGTGATTTTGAATCTCTTTGGAAGAAACTTTTGTTTTTGGGAGCCACTGTTGTGACCTTCACATTTTTGAGCTTTTTATATTCTCCAGTCCTTTCCTTCTAATGCCAAGTGTTTCATCCCAATGGAAGGGCAGTGCCATGCTGATGGAGGAATTGTTCCCTAAAAGGCTGAACCAATTAATTTTGATAGCAACTTTTTTATCTTCAGTCAGAGGCCCATGCTGGAGCCCTGTCACTGCAGAGTGGGAGTGACAGTGACATTATTGTCACATCTTGACATTTTGCCTTGGACAGAGCAGGAGGGATCAGTGTTGTCTGCCTGGAAAAACATCCAAAAAAAGAAATGCCCTATTGAAAAATAGAGTATTTAGCAGTCAAATTCCACATTCCTGTTTGCTGGGCTCCTTGAAAACCAGCAGAAAGATGGATGGAAGAGGGAAAAATGGTAAAGTTCCTTGGGGAGAGACCCCAGAAGAATAGTGAGCCCTTCCAGAAAGTTTTGGTATTCCAGAGTTACCTGGCGAGGCGAAACTCTTTGGGAGAAAAGTCTCCTTGGCAGCAAGTTTAACCTGGATTCCTTTCCAAGCAGCAGTTAATTAGCTCCAGCTAATTGTCCTTGAAAGGCCTATTTTTTCCAAGGGGAGGTTTGTGATAGGGAAGAACTCGGAACATAAAACGTGGGCAGGTTTGTGAGGCTTTACGCAAATCCCATGGAATGTTTCTGCTCGTCTTTTTTTAGCTCACATCTCCTTTTCAGAGCTCATTGCCAGCTGGGAAAAGGCCTTGGGATGCATCAAGTGGATCAGGATGACCAAGGCCGGCTTGGGCAGGATTTGGTCTCATGGGAGGTGGAAGGGGTTGGAACCAGATGGGCTTTGGGGTCTCTTTGAACCCAAACCATTTTAGGACTGTAAATGCCTACAGAATTAGTGGCACTGGGGTTTTTTTTCCCATTTCCATGCTGGAGCACATCCCTGGAGTCACAGAGCTCAGGGCATGGCTGAGAGGATGTTAGGCAGAAGTTACAGGCTTGTAAGATCTTTCCATGTGTCAATCTGTCCTCCAGGCCTGGAGGAGCTGAGCTATTTATTGAGTCTATTCTTATTTTAGAGGCATTTTCCTGATTTTTGTCAGCTGGGGGTTGGCAGTTCCCTTTAATGTCCATCCTTTGTGTTCCTTCTCTTAAATCAGCAATTGCAGACACGTCATCTGTGAGACTGATTTTAATTGTAGGCTATAATTTTAATTATAGCATTACACAGACTATAATATGAATTATAATATTCTACTCCTTGAATGTATTCAAATGACTTAATGAATTAATTAACTAAATGGATATTATAGTTTCCTCCTTAAAAGGGAAGGAGAGAGGCAAATTTGCTTCATGCTCTGAGGAAAGGGGAGTCCAGAAGAGCAGCACTCATGTCCCAGTGCCAGGCCCAGCCCGGTGGCATTTAGGGCATGAAGGAGATACCCAAATCATCAGGATTATCTCAGTGTAGGTTGCTTTCAAATGGAGCCACTCCAGCAGCTTCCATAAATCCAGGAGGACACAGGAGGGTGGCTTCTGCTGCAGCTGGTGGTGCCAAGTGGGGCCAGGTTCAGTGACCTCCTTTGCTGCAGGCACACCAATCCCTCCTTCTGGGCTCATCCCAAGCCAGGAGCTCCTGGCGTTGATCCTGTGCAATTATTGAACTCTTACCAAGGTTTGGAGAGGTTCCTCTCTAGGTGGTGCCACCTTTCCACAGCAGGGCTGTGGCACAGCCACCCCACTGAGGTGTCCCTTGCCACCCAGCTGGGACAGCTGGCAGCTGCCTGGCTGTACCTGGCAGCTCACAGCCCCCAGAGGCTCTGTCCCAGTGCTCCCATCACATTCCCAGCTGCCTCCCAGTGCCCATGGCCTGGGGCAGCAGGGCTTGGGATTAATCCCCAGCTGAAGCCTTGATGCCTTGAGAAGGCTGAGCTAGAACAGAGCCAGACAGAGCTAAGGAATAAAACTGGGATTTATTAAAAGGATCTCCTCAATGGATCCACCTTGGGCAGCACAAGAGCCCAGCCAGGGCTGCACCCAAGATGAACCAAAATGGTCACAAAATGCACGAGTGCTCACGGGGGCTCTCACTTTGATCATTTCTGCTCCATTGGCACCTTGGAGTTCATTGCCCAGTTCCAGCTTTAGCCCAGGAAGTCCCATCCTGCTTGTTTTTGTCTCTTCACCATTGTTTATACTTTTTGGCCTGGAGCTTATATCAGTTGTCCTTGGTCTCAAGTTAGAAAAGCATTGGTCTGTCTCCCTACCCTGTGAAGAGAACTTGCTAACACTTAATGTGAAGCTCAGAATTACACACTAAAGCTGCACAGAATCTGAAAAATAGGAAAGCCAAGGCTTAAGGCATCAGCCTTCATGCTCTTGCATGACTCTGGTGCCTTCATGCTGTTGCTCCAAGCTCTCTGCAGGTAGAAGTTGTTCTGACTGCACTTTTCCCTTGTTTTGTTTCCTAGTCCAGCTGTGTTGCAGCCCTGGGGGAATGTCTGGATACTCACAGCCAAAATTGGCTGCTATTCCCAGGGCTTGAGGGCACAGGGACCTTTATTTAGATGTCTTTCTGTGTCCTTGCAGCCCCAGAGCCCTTCATCTGTCTGGTGCTGTTTTAATGAAGAGCTTCATTTACAGCTGGACTCAAAGGCCTGAGAGCTCTTTTCCAACCTGAATGATTCTATTCAAACCTTTTGTTTCACTCCCCTTTTCTAGTCCCCTTTTCCAGTCCCTGAGATGTCCTTTTTTTTTACCTTACACCCCCTCTCTCACTCCATTTATTCATAAAAAAGCATCTCAGGAGTTAATTGACTTAATTTTGCTGCAGAGGCTGGTTATGAATATTTTTCCATTTTATATACCTATGGAAATGAAACACTATAGAAGTACAAAGATATCTGAGGAAAAGAAAGGAAAAGAAATAAAGCTTAAGAGGAGAGAGAATAGAGGAAAGATCCCACCATCCAGAAATGAGACTTGGTTGTTGCAACTTTGGTATCTGTGGGTCAAAGTGATGGTCACAGTCTTGATCCACTGAGGCTGGATTGGCCCTTCAGCTCCATACAAAGGAGCAGAAACCAGTTTATCCTCATGGAAACTCCTGTTTTGGTGTGATGGAAAACCTTGGGAAAGCTTTACCTGCAGATGATGCCTCTGCAGGGCCATGTCCAAACTGCTGGGTTGGACATCCAGCCAGCCCTGGTGTTGTGCGGTAAAACAGCCCTGGGCATTAGGGAATGA